GCACAGCCATGTTTTTACAAGTCATTTTCTTAATGTTGTAGCCTCTGCAGTTTTTATGTATAGCAATATATTAAGACATTTCCTGTTTCTAAATGCATTAGATGTGTATTCTTATAAATACCATGTATGTAAGTGTTATTCAACATGTTCCTTGTTCTTTCAAATCTATTAATATTGTGGATTTTGTTTTCTGGATATATGTTTGAAACCTGTATTAATTCTAATTTTGATGTTAATGCTGCCATGTTATGGAGTCAGGCACATTCAAGCTCTATCACGGAGCTTTTTGCCTGACGGACCCCAACAATTTTGTTGGAAAATAAAGAGCTTTATATATCTTATTTTGATAGAAAAGTGATAATAAGTGCCTCATTCACGTGTAAACTGGCTTTCCTTCAGCCCCGTGTTATTTTACTAACACTGGAAGCACTCTACGTTTTAATTTATCTACCACTAGGTGTTCGTCTAGCCATAGCCTACAGTTGCAGCTCCTCCTACGGAGTATTCGTATTGAAATGAATAGAATAATCTCTGTCAGCAAAAAACACTCATCACTTTGAGAAATTTTCTCAAGGTACATTCCAATAGTGATGGTCGTTATCGAGCGTTAGCAAGAGAGGTTTTCTCAAAGCGTGATAGAAAACTAGGAGAACTTTTTGTAAAAGTGTTGGCGATAAACACATCGAAGTTGCGAAAGTGCTGCAGTAAATACTACTCTCAGGATTTTAAAGCAATGCTACCATCAGTTGTTTTCATGAAAAGGATGCATCCCTGCATCAGGTAGCTTTCCTTTCTCTTGTAGTTTATTCATACAATGTGCTGCAATATGCTGTGTTGAAAGCACAGTGACATTGATAGTAAGATGCTTGAGCATGAAACCATCGTCATTAATTGAAATAACACCGTGAAAGCTTCCGCATTTGCATATTCCTCCAACAGAAAAACCACCATACGCTTATAAGCTTGCTAAACCAAAAAGTCGCAGCTTTGCCGCAAAGACGAAGCAATGAATGCGATAGCCACAAATTGGAATGTTACGCGAAGAATGGCAAGCAGATCAAAACGTGCCCTGCTTCGCTCACGCACAAATGACGCATGAAACGTACTCACACGTACAGATGAACGCGAATAAGTGCCTCAGTTGTTGGTACGCTGTGTCTAAAAGCGCGCCTTTTTCGCAGAGACCATGTAGCGAGTGTAGCAACTGGGCGCCCAGTAACTACAACAGAATCTTTCTGTTCAAAGCCCGAGCCATTCGATTCCCCTGACCGCGAGATAAGCGCGCGCATTAGTGAGTGTCTACTCCCTCCACGGGCCAAGCGCCCGTCGCCGCGTCTAGATGAGCGGAGCGTCGAGCGTGCTCTATGCGCCATCCCGCTTGTAATGTTCAAAAAAGGCTCATATTTTCTCCGAGATCGGCAACGTCAGCGATAAGTGGCATATATAAATACCTAACGTTAGAGTGTACTAGAAGTGTACACGGCACTAACACGGCCACGCCCTCACAAGCAAGAAGTCGGACGTTTGATGCCCCGTGCTGGAGTCTTTTCTGGATTATTTTCCTTTCTTGCATTTTCATATATATATTGTTACGGAAGAGAGACGCCGTATCGACGAGGCTGTGGATGAAATATATTTCAAACCAGCAGCAGCAGCGGCGTGACCGGTAGACCAGACATCGAGCGGAGACCTCCCTTCGTCCTTTCATCTGGCGCACAAGCGCATCGTCCCACAAAATGTCAACATGCATGTAGCCTGATCCCCGGCGGCAGAAGCGCCATCTCGGCGCATCTAGATGTCAACGTCAGCGGGAGAGTTGTAAGGCTTCAAGCGTGCCACATGTACGATATCGGTGGCGTGAGGGGTAGTTTTAGGCGATGAGGCAGCAGGAGCAATTTCGTGTGTCACAGTAGTCACCTGACGAAGGATTCGATATGGGCCTGTGTAGCGGGAAAGAAGTTTTTCCGACAAGCCGACTTGACTGATCGGGGACCACAGCAGTACCAATGAAGCGGGTAATAAGTGCACGTCACGGTGCCGTTCATCGTACAAACGCTGTTGATTCTCTTGAGAGGCCAGAAAGCGAGTGCGGGCGATTTCACGTGCGTGAGCAGCCCAAGTGATAGCATCAAGGGCATAATAGCTGGTCGGTGTCGCGGTAGACGGAATGACTGTCTCTAGGGGTAATGCAGGTTCTCGGCCGAACAACAGAAAAAATGGAGAGTACGCGGCAGTGTCATGGCGAGAAGAATTGTAGGCGAATGTGACGTAACGGCAACGCGAGATCCCAATCGGTGTGGTTGGTAGAAACATACTTAGCGAGCATATCTGTAAGAGTTCGATTTAAACGCTCCGTGAGTGCATTTATTAGCGGGTGGTATGGCGTAGTCAGCTTGTGTCTCGTTTGACAGGACTGCAAGATGTCGGCTATGACCTCCGACAAAAAGGTGCGGCCACGGTCTGTAAGCAGCTGCCGTGGAGCTCTGTGGGGCTCCGTGTTGCAAAATCACGTCCTTGAGGAGGAAGTCGGCGAGACCTGTGGCGCAGTTTGTTGGAAGAACTCGTGTGATGGCATAGCACGTGGCGAAGTCGGTGGCTACGGCTATCCACTAGTTGTTACTCGAGGAAGACAAGGGTAAAGAGCCAAGTAGGTCCAAGCCAACGCGGAAGAACGGTTATGACGGAATGTCAAGTGGTTGAAGGCGTCCGGCGGGAAGTGTCGATGGTGTTTTGCAGCGCTGGCATTTCTCACAAGCCGCAACGTATCTTCTGACTGAGCGCGCAAGCCCTGGCCAAAAGAAGCGTCGGCGTATTCGGTCGTAAGTGCGTGACACACCAAGGTGACCAGCAGTCGAAAGGTCATGAAGTTCATGTAGAACTTCCGAGCGAAGGTGTTGCGGAATGACAAGCAGCCGGGCCGGTCCATCCGGCTCAAAACTTTGGCGGTATAATACACCATCATGGAGCACGAATGAGCGATGGGGCTCATTGGAAGATGGTGATTCGAATTACGCTCAATGATAGCACGCAAGGACGCTTCATGCATGGCGCTGCTCGTCACCGATGCATGTCATTTGCGAAAGAGAAAAGACGCAAGGTTCGGTGTCGGTGTCAAGCATAGTGCTCGACTCAGCAACCGAGTAGCGGGACAGGCAGTCTGCGTCCTGATGTAAACGTCCGGACTTGTACGTCTCCGTGTATGTATACTCTTGTAGTAGCAGAGCCCAGCGACCGAGCTGGCCAGTAGGATCCTTCAGTGACGTAAGCCAACATAGCGCATGGTGGTCCGGTAATACAGAGAAATTCGTGCCATATAAACATGGGTGGAACTGCAGTGACTGCCGAAACATGAGCAAGGCATTCACGCTCTGTCATTGAATAGTTGCGCTCAGCAGATGTGAGTAGGCGGCTAGCGTAGGCGATAACTCAGTCGTATCCCTGCTGACATTGGGGTAGGACGGTTCCAATCACGTGACCACTCGCATCGGTTCGGACTTCTGTAGAAGTAGGAACGGGTCAAAGTTGGCCAATATAGGTGGAGTCGTGAGAAGGGTGATGAGGTGAGAAAAAGCGGCAGCTTGGGCAGAACTCCACGTAAAAGTCACGTCTTTCTTCAGAAGGTCGGTGAGTGGTCGAGCGATCGTTGCAAAATCTTTCACGAACCTTTTAAAATAGGAACAAAGTCCCACAAAGCTGCGGACGTCTTTGACAGACTAGGGTACAGGAAAGCTCGTGACGGCACGAATTTTCTCCGGGTCAGGCTGCACACCTAATGCATCGACAAGGTGGCCCAACACCGTAATCTGCTGGCGGCCGAAGTGACATTTCGACGAGTTTAGTTGAAGGCGATTTACTGCGATGGTTCATGTCCCTGAATGTACGCATTGTAGAAAGAGTTCCTATGAACGCAACGAGCAAATATTCTATTTCCCTGATTTTCTACCACTTTTGAACACGTTGCACGGAATACCACTCTCATGCTAATATTTTGTTAGTTAGGCTCACAGCTTTATACAAACATTTATTGCTGACATCCATTTATAAAATAATGAGAGATGTTTCTTGTGCACATATTGCGACGTTCCGAATTTCATAGACACTTTCGTCTATTTAGAACATGTAATGCTTTGCTCACTTCTTGATCTTCGTCTGTTTGAAATACTTGATTATGCGCCCTCGAAAATATGCGCAAATCGCCGCACGCTTTGTTTTTCGTAGAACGGGCGCAGCAATCATTTGGCCCCTCAAACAAAGTTGCCAGCGACTATCCATTCATTCCATGTGTGCATAAACTATTGATGTGTACTTATGCGCATCTTTGTTTTTAATAGGTGTCCATGAGAACCAGGCTGAAAACAGCCAAAACGTTCAATAGTTAGTGTCCTATAAGTAAAGCTGCTATCTATGCAAACACCGTACCTCTCACTTATTGACTTGCTGTTTTGTGTCAAGCTTACGCCAAACAATAAGATGCCACTACTATGCGTATGTTTTGTCGGGGGTGTTTCATGTTTTGCCTGATTTTAAGTCCCCGGTGGCGCAACGGTACCTATGGATATCTTTGACCTTGTATTTACAGATTTTAGCTTGTTCCAGGAAGCTGCTGGAAAGGCGACGGCGAAAGGCGCTTGATATGAATTCTCGCAGGTTCTTCCGTTACTTACTTCTTATGTTTTTTTTTGCTTAACGTCCAGGTTTTTCAACGTGAATTAATTCACATTTCCCAGTTGCAGCTAGCATTTTAAAGCAACTAGCCGAAAAGTATTTACATTTGGACATTCTTGACAAACTGACGACAGGGCAAGACGAAGAAAACCACGTGACAGCCTTAAATGTTGAGTGCGAGATGTTGTGAGAGAGGTCTTTCTTAGTATTAGTTGTTGGCGCAGCCGTACTCTATCCTTAGTGAAATCGCAAGATTCTGTACGTGACACATACGTGCAACTGCAAAAAAGCTAAGCGTAAACTCGCTATTACACTTGCGCAGGCGCAACCGGTACTACTACACACCGCTGATGGAGAAGTACGAGAAGATCTCGAAGATTGGAGAAGGCTCGTACGGGGATGGTGTTCAAGTGCCGCGTTCGGGACACCGGTCAGCTGGTGGCCGTCAAGAAGTACGTCGAGACCGAGGACGATCCGCTCATCAAGAAGATCGCGCTGCGAGAGATACGCATGCTCAAGGTGATGGTGCTTGAGTTTTTGATTGGGTGTTTAGGTGCACTTAATTGTCTGCGTTGGTAACTTCAATTGGCCCGAACTTCTTGCAAGCGTAGGTTGTGTAATATCCAAAATGAAGCAAAGAGACTGAGACATAACAAGCTGCTGGTCTGCGTCTGTAATGTGTCGTTTGAATGGTTACAAAATAAATAAAAAAACTACGCTGACCAAAATGTATAGTCAACAGATAGCAGAAAGCACTAGTTACCAATAAATATGAGGACTGCTTCAATCATTGGCATTTACATCGCTTAGAAACGGAGAAACGCACCCGCCCTAGTTCCCTGTCCTTTCTTCATTTTCTTTTGCTCTGCAACACTGACCACAATCAACAACCTCAGAGCTCAATACACGCGTTTTCTTGATAAGAGAGAGATAGAGGTCAGTCAGTAATCGGTGCTTTGCAAAGAAAACATTATTGATAATAATTAACACAAATAAAGGAGCAAATTTTACATGCCCTTTTCATCTTCTCTTACAGGACTTATACAGTAGTTTAGATGAAATAAAGAATATTGATCTGGGGTCATTTGCTTTGTTAGACTCTCCCTAATGAATCCTACAGGCACTTGAGCCAAGAAACGTATAGAGAACATTATTCATGTGCTTTAACTGTAGTAGAGTAAATAATGAATAAATGTAAATGTTTTGAAGTTGATGAGAATTCAACTTTAGTAGAGTAAATACGACATAAATGTAAATGTATTGAAGTTAATGAGAATTCGACTTTCCAAACGTAGCAACAAAACAGACAACTTTCGGCAATGCATACGATGGGTTTACCATAGAGCTATAGCGACAGTCGCTATCACATACACTTTACTCAGTCTTCGTGCTATTTTAACCTGCCGATGTTAGCCAGCGCTGGTCCCTTGAGTACTTACTGCATACTAGTGTTTCATGGCTCAGCTACCACCTTTTTATAAGATCACGCACTGGGTTACGAAAGCTGGCGCCAAAAAAAGTGTTCAACGCTGGCCGCTATTGCTTTGAGCAGCGCTTGCTAGCACTGCCACGGCTGCGCCAATCCTGGCAGATTAATAACTCTACGAGGCTGTGTTCCTTGAGGCTATTTTAGAAATAGGTATATTTGAGAAGTCGGTATATTCTACAGAGATTGGGTAAGTTCCACCACTGCTGTACCAGAAATGACGGAAACAGCTGAATATTCTTAGTAAACCTGTGTTTCACAGACACATTTTACTTTCATATTATACCAATTCTTCTATAGTGGGATCAGCAGCGTTGTTTTGCGGTGAAAGAAGTCGCAGCACTGGTTAGAGATGTCGAGATATAACTTCCAATTCGATGGCTTTTCGTGTGGATGCGCTCTGATAATATAGTGTTTATGGAACATTACATTGTACAGCTTCAATGAGCTAAGTTTCCATTTGAAAGTTGAAGATAAAAACACGTTTGTTGAAAGAGTCCCTTTTCTTACTTTACGGTGCAGCAATTGAAGCATCCGAACCTTGTGAACTTGATCGAAGTGTTCCGGCGGAAACGGAAGCTGCACCTGGTGTTTGAATACTTGCGAACACACTGTCCTAGACTTCCTGGACAAGCATCCAAAAGGGTGAGTCTGCAAGTATCTACTCTGAGTGCCGATAAATCTCTTCGTAATTTCGGTCGTTTGTGTGCTGGGCCATTCCATTACTGTATAGACGCTACAACACTGTGGTGGTGTGTACGCTTTCTTCGTCCTGACTAGTTAGTACTCTTTGCATGAACCAACCATCATAGATGTGTCAAGTCCGCTTTTGCTCCACACTGATGAAATGGCTATGCAAAAAGTAACCTACGGACATATAAATGACGTGCCGCTGTCTTTATAGGGTGTAGGTGTAGTTCAAGAAATCTGCACGTATGGCGCGGTATGTAGCAAGTTAGCAACATTTTGAGATTTGTTCATTAAGGAATGCAAGAAATAAAGCCAGCTGTGTGTATACAAAAATGCCAAACTCACGCCGTCCCAACATAGCAGCAATGTCGGGAATTTAGAAAGAAGTATGAAGCTTTGGCCAGCATCTTTCTATTGACCAAGCCATGATCGTGAAAATACCAACAGCAAAATTGTTCGCGGGGGCCTGGTGCGCCTACTTTCATAATGCCAAGCATTTCTTAGCCTACTGTCGGCGCTTTGCGCGCTTCTATTTAAGCGTCCATCCGTTCGTCATCCGTCCGTCCGTCCGTCCGTCCATCCGTCCATCCATCCATCCATCCATCCATCCATCCATCCATCCATCCATCCATCCATCCATCAAACTATCCGTCTATTAATCCTTTTGTTTAGTCGCTTACGATTGAATGCTCTTGTGATCGTCTTCGTAACTTTGGGGACACACTAAACCAATTATGACCCATAAGGATGGATGTAAATGAGCTTGTCGCCAGACGAGCACCCTTTGCTCCCTATTGGGTGGTAAACAAAAGGTGCCGAGGAAGGGTGCTGAAAAAGGGTGCAGAGCTTAGCACCCTCAAAAAAGAGTGCACAGCAAAAAATGTTGAACCGGGTAAAGTGTGCACTCTTTAAAAGAGGATGCTGTCGTGCTATAACACCTTTTAGTATGGGTGCTGGAGGGGTGCTCCACATCGACGTACTAGTGGGCCGAATCTGGGATTGATGATGATGAGTAGTTTTTAATGGCGCAAAGGCCAATTGATGACCAAAGAGCACCATTTCAATTGCCTACACATATGAACAATGATATGATGCGTGGCTGTAAAGGGGTCTTAAAATTCCTCGCTCTAACGCGGGTTAAAACATGGAAGTAATAAAATCATGACAGTGGCGTGACATATGTGTAGTGATAGCGGATGGCAATATGTCATGATAATAAAATCATGATGAAGATGTAGTCACCGCAACCACGACCACTCTATAGAGGTCGTGATACGGATGACCTCGAAAGATTGGGTGAAAGCTATGCACATCTTTTAAAAACGTGAAAAGTGTTTGCAGTTTAAAAAAATTGCGCCATATCCACGAAGTGAATGATGATGAGTGGGCGAAGCTCCGGAGGTAAACCTGGTAAACCATGAATCCTCTGTACATTTTGCCCACTCGATTTTATTACATCGCTCCCCCTAGCGTACGTCACCGCACTAAATCGAACGATTGCCTTCAACCAATGACACGCGCCATATGTGACATCATTCCTATTTTATAAGATCTCGCGTCTTTCATCAACTACAAGTACCGCTTTCTAGTTTATAACAGCTTGCATCTTTTCATCATCAGCTACAAGTACCACCATCTAGTAAACACTACAAGAACTAAACTAGAGGTGGCTACATACAGGAGACGGTACCGCCATCTAGTGAACACTGCAAGAACTAAACTAGAGGTGGCTACATGGATGGAAGGATGGATGGATGCTATGAGCGTCCCCTTTATAACGGGGTGGTGACAAGTATGCCACCAGGCTCGACAAAAAAAAAAAAACCTTTTTTCCTTTTTTTCTTTATGTTGGCCTAATGCCTCTACTTCGATAAATTCTATCTTAATGGAAAAAAGGTAAATTTTCAGCTTAAGTTCTCTGCCATTTACGGCACACTGTCCATAGTTTATTTTTCCAATATTTATTTTTGTCCTTTCTCTCTAATTTTCTGCCACCAATACTCTAACCGTCTCTTACTTATTTCAATCGCGGGTGTGTTCAGCTTTCCATTGTTGTCCCTAAAACCCAAGGCTTCCTGTAGGCTCGTGCCCAAACGTACACCTGGGTGGATATCTCCACATTCAATCAGAACATGCTCCGCCGTTTCCTTATCTTTCCCGCAGCATGTGCATTGTTCTTCTTCTTTACTGAATCTTGCTTTATAACTACGCGTTCTAAGGCAACCCGATCTCGCTTCAAACAGTAAAGCGCTTCCCCTTGAATTATCGTAAAATGCCTCCCTCCTTATTTCATTTTTGCCCTTTCGGTAGTTACTCAGAGCCGGTTTTTTCTCCATAGCTGCCATCCAGTAAATCCTCTCCGCCTCCCTGACCTTTCCCTTAACGCTCTTTGTTGACATATGGCTCACAATACCAGCCGTATATTTACTAGTGAGTCTTCTAGTTCTTTTTCTCCACTGTGTGTCCACGCTCTTCCTATACAAATAACGGAACACCTTCTCTGCCCATCTACTCTCCTTCATATTTCTTAGCCTTTCTTCGAAGCTTATTTTGCTCTGCGCTTCCCTCGCCTCAAAACCTGCCCACCCCATATCGCCCTTTACAGCCTCGTTTGTCGTCTTCCCGTGAGCACCCAACGCGAGGCGTCCCACAGTCCTTTGATTTACATCCATTCCCGATTGCACCTCTGCCCTCATGCACACCACTGAGTTCCCAAAAGTAAGCCCTGGAACCATTACACCCTTCCACAGACCTCGAAGCACCTCATACCTATTGTATCCCCACAACGCTCTGTGCTTCATTATTGCCGCATTCCTCTTTCCTTTTGCTGCCGAGGCTTTTTCCTGTACCTCCATGTATCTATCACTCTCATTTACCCATACTCCAAGGTACTTGTATTCACTTACCCTCGGTATTTCTTGGCCTTGTATGGACACCGTCTGATCACAGGGATCATTGAATACCATCAATCCACACTTCGTTACACTGAATCCTAGTCCAAGAGCTTCACCTTCCCTTCCGCATATATTCGCCAGCTGCTGTATATCATCTCGACTGTCCGCAAATAAGACGATATCGTCCGCATAAAATAAACCTGGAAGCTTCTGCTCAATCATCATGCCGCCCTGTTTGTGTGACAGATTAAATCCAATGTTGCTACCTTCTAGCGCTTTTTCCATACTCACCATGTACAGCATGAATAACAGTGGGGACAAAAGACATCCCTGTCTCAGACCCCTGCTAACCTCAACGTTCTCTTTGCTACGCATTCCTTCCCACTCTATGCAAACTGTATTTTCTCGGTATATCTCCCTCAAAAGCTGTATACAGTCGTCGCCCATGCCCATTCCTTTCAATATATCCCACAAAATTTCCTGATTAACGTTGTCGTATGCCCCAGTGATGTCTAGAAAAGCCACGTACAAGGGCCTATTCTCTATTTTAGATATTTCTATACACTGAGTGAGAACAAACAGGTTATCGTCTAACCGCCTGTCGACTCGAAATCCGTTCTGAAGTTCTCCCAAAATATCGTTATGTTCGGCCCATGTTTCTATTTTCATTTTTACTGCTTGCATCGCCAACCTGCATAGTACCGATGTAATGGTTAGTGGTCTATACGAGCGAATCTTGTCCTTTTCTCCCTTGCCTTTATAGATTAAGTTCATTCTACTTTGTCGCCAACTGTCCGGTATTTGTCCGTCCTTTAAGCTTTTTTCTACTGCTTTTAACAATGCTTCTTTAGTGTTATGTCCTAGTTCGTTAATGAGGCTAACGGGAATCCCATCTAAACCCGCGGCAGTGCGCTTTGGAATTTTTCCTTCGGCCTTTTTCCAGTTGAAATTATCAAGTACTAGCTCTTCCTCTGTTGCTTTCTCCGCCACACTTTTACTCACCGGGGAGATCCCCTGGACGCTCTTTTGAAACGAATCGGCTGTTACCTTTTGGATGTAACCTAGCGCTTCGTACCCTTCCAATTGATTTCCTCCTTCATCTAGAATATATTGTTGCGTTGTGACAGACTTCCTACCTAGCGCCTTTATGTGGCTCCAAAAAATCCTAGGCGCGGCCTCCTTTTTTTCGTGTATCTCTGTCATCCAGCGTTCACTTTCACCTTTAATTTTTGCCTCTACCAATTTCTGTACAAGGGATTTTTTCTCCAAATATATTTCTCATATTTTTTTTTTAACTTCGTCCTGCGGCCGCTTCTCCTTTTTTGCCTTTCTATGCTCCCGTGATGCTTCGCGTCGCTTCTCGATCGCCTCCCGGATTTCCTTGTTCCACCAACTTTTTGCTTCCTTTTTCCTTTCCAGCAAACAGTTTTCTTCTCTTTCCCTATCTCCTTCGTCATTAGATGTAACAGCTCACTATACTCCCAGTCCTTGCCTGGTATTTCGCCTACTTCTTCCTCGACTCTTGCGGCTATATTTATTATTTGTTTGTCATTTAAATACGAGCTGCCAGACTTTGATTCCATGCTCATATTTTTAGTTTCGTATCCCATTTGTAATGTTATTCGTTTATGATCACTACCCAAGCTGTTAATGCCTTCCTCGTCTATCCTCATTTCTGTCAGTTTGTGGTAAATTCCTTCAGTCATGAGACAATAATCAATACTTGATTGCTTGTTTCCGACTTCCCATGTGATCTGGCCGTCACATTTAGGCCCCGTGTTAACTATCTCCAGACTATGTTGCTCGCAAAGATCTAGTAATAACTTCCCATTGGTGTCTGAATATCCGTCAAGGTCATGTATGTGGGCATTCATGTCCCCTAGAAGGATGATTTCGGCCCCATTACCAAATTCCTTAATATCCGCACTCATGCAATCCACTATCTCCTGATTCTTTTCTCTGCAGTTATTCCCCGTCCACAAGTAGGCTACCCCTAGCCACGTTTCCTTTCCACCTACTGTGCCCAGAACCCAGAGGTGCTCTGAACACGTCTGTTTCACT